GAAGACGGAACAAGCTCCAGTGGTCGGGGCAAGACCATGTATTGAATAAGATGTTCAGGATGGGTGTAACAAACCAAATACATTACGCGGAAGAAGCTTGGGAAGTTCCTGAGAATCAAGACCAAGATGATCGACTAACCCGACTTCATGTTGGTTTTGAAGAAGTTGATTCGATCCAGTATCAGTCCTCGCGCTGCCCAAACAATCTGTGTACGCAAGTCTTGTCCTGATGAATTGTACATAACAAACCATATCAGAACTAAACCACGGTACTCCAAAGCATTCCGATGACTGAAAAGACACATTGGACGACGGTATGTCGGGAGCGTACTGGTTCTCTACAATGGGTTTTCTGCAAGCCTCGGAATGGTTTTGATGTTAACCGGTGCATCGGTGCTAGATTCCCATGGGTAAGTCAAGATATTCCCAAAGTCCGTTCGGAGCCTGGAACGCGATGAACTTGATGTCTTCCTCGCCCATGCGCACTTGGTAATACGCCAGTATCAGATCAAGTCGTTTTATGACGACATCTACGTATTCACGAAGTCAAGAAGCATAGAAGACCACCTTGAAGTGTTATGAAAGACATTGGATATCTTGGCGAAAGCGAGCTGTACGTCAAGTTGGCGAAGTATGTCTTCTGTGCGGAAGCGATTCCATGCCTTGGTGACTTCGTTGGACACAATAGTGTGCGCATCTTGACAAGGTGCAGAGGACTAAGGACTGGCCGGTACCACGGACCCAAGAAGAGCTTCATAGCTTTGGCGAAGACAGATGCTTCTGCAAACGACGGACGCAACTCCTTGTGGAGTTGGTGGTTAATTAGAAGCTCACATGGGAGCCGAACGAAAACCTGTCGCAAGTTCCGGACCTTATTGTAAATTTTTCGAAGAGTCTAGAAGGAAGAAGCGGTGTAGACGCTGGTCGACGAGGCCGAGCAGAAGGAGGGGACGAAGGCTACATGTATTCTCGTACTGCACCCCTAGAACTTCTGCTTTTTTGTTCTTCCCAAGACCAGCTTTCTTTCGCTTTCCACGGCGGCAATGATAACCTGCATTTAACTTCACCAGACCCATCCACTTCACCTTGTTAAGGTACTCAATAACTCCGGAGTCACAGGCGGCTCAACGCTATCCAACAATGTTACCTCGGCGCCCACACCATTCGTGACAAGAACGACCCAATGGTCGATGAGACCATCCCAAACACTTCTGAGGTACACTACCTCAGGAAAGGTTTACGCGAGCGCCTTGAGCATCTCCACATCCGTGTCCGATCCGTTGAGGCGGTTAAAAAACATAGTTTAAAGGACACTCGTTGCACTGGAGAACGGTGTAGAACCCAGTGGGTTTAGCACGAGTGACGCCATTGACCGTACGACGATTCTCAACTTCAAAAACTTTCAAATGTTCTGTGGCATTTTACGCGAAATCAGGATCACCAAGGTGAACGGTGCAGCACACGCGACGTCCACGACGCAACCTCCAGTAGGAGAAACCTAGTCGCGTCGTGTAAAACGTTTCTTGTAGTACTTGGTGAATGCTCCAGGACGCAGTTCATCTCGCCACACTTCCAATTGGACCATACACCGCACAAACTTCTGCTGGAGCTGCTCTTCCCAAACCCAGCTAAGCTGGGGTCGATACGCCATTCCGCAAGAAAACAGCTATGGGGAACTGTGTCGCGGATAGTGCAATTGGAAACTCCACCGAGTAGTCCCAGGGATATTTCAGGGTCATAATGGTTCTCACCACATGCTTCCTCGGTGTCTTATAGCGCATACGGATGGCATTCCTCAGCGTCAACTCCACACATTAAACGATTACGCGCTCCAACTGGATCGGAACCCTC